TCTTTTTACTGTCTGTCTGTCTGAGTATTATTGTGTTATCAACTAATAACTGTCATATTATGTACATGGCTATGTTTTTCATTGTCTTTTATATTTAACAACATATGTTTAAATAATGATCTGCTGCCCCAGTAAACTATAAGCATATGTATTTTTTTCTGCAAAAAACAAAAATTACCTCAACATAGAGATAATCAATTTCAAGCCGTTCTGTATGTATATATGTGTAGAGTGAGTCTGTGTGTCAAACATGATGTAGTGTGGCCTATATAATTATTTACGAATTTTGATTGATTAGGAATCCAATTCCTTAATGGGCAGACTCACTCTACACCTTTCTGACCATTGCTCAATTAGATCTCATTTAAATATTCATGGAGACCTACCGGACACTATTTGTAACATACTTGTTGACAACACTAATATAATAGCATCATCATGCAAAAAAGGCGAAAAATAAGGGAAGCCTTATTATTAAAAACAAAAAAAAACAATACTTAATAATATCAACTATGAACATGGACACAATATCTTGACCGTGTTTTGAAAAATAAAAACATTATATAAATACATACATACAACAAACTATTTCTTGTTAACAGTTAAAATATTTAATCCTTGAAAATGGCTAAATGTATAGCCGAAAGCGTTCGGATAAAAAGAACATTCAGACAGTTTCAGTTTTTATATAATTTATCATCTGAAAAGAAAAAAAAATATTAGATCGCATGAGAAATTGTACAAAAAGCTAAATAAAAGCACCTTGTCTGTCGTATTCAATGAAATGTGCATGAAAGAAGGATTGCTCCCTAAATACACACACACACACACACACACACATATATATATATATATATATATATATATATATATAGAGAGAGAGAGAGAGAGAGAGAGAAAGATAGATCGCGCTCACGTGATAGAGATAGTTTACGCGTATTAACTGCCATTATACACGTAATTAGTAAAGCACTTGATGGCAGCTTCATAACGATAGCGAATACCCTAAATATTTTAATGACTTTTGGCAAAGTGTTGCATACCTGGTTACAATACTAACTCTCCAGCTCTAGAAAAATCTACGCATTAATGAAATTCTTACTCTTAATTATGTCCCTGAAGGTTGTTGTGAATAAGCAGTTTTCTGAAATCCACGAGATCAATGCCGGTGTCCTCAAAAGTCACTCCCTTATTCCTACCCGCTTTCTACGTGTTAGTAACGATCTGCATAGGAACATACTCAGGTAATTGTTAAACATCTATTCGCCTCAAGATAGACAACAATGTTACTAAAACGCAAGGGGCTCTGGGACTGTAAGAAAATGGACAGATTTTAGAAAGAATCGGAGACCTGATGCTAAACAGGATTCAAATGATAAACCTACACTCATGTTCAAATAGGTCAGCTCCTTTGAACGTCTATTAGGATTAAAATTAATTTCACACCTCAACTGCATCCGGATCCACAATTATACGTACTCAATACACAAAAGAGTTACTTGAAATCGCCTACCGTTGAGATAATACAGTTGACCTTACTACCCATAATGCACCATTGACCAGCATATATATGATATCACACCCGTCATTCAATAGCCTTTAACCATGGGTTGCTCGTGATCCTTGTACTGATAAATCATTCAGTTATGTTCAATACGTGATGCACGGTTAGGCGATCATGTATCTTTGATATGACTGACAGGGCAGATTTTTTCCCGCAGACAGGTTGCCATCCAAGGATATAGAACCGGGTCTGTCCTGCTATTTACCCATATCTGGGGGAGGGGAAAAGAAGAAGATTCATACCTTTCTCTTGGTAAAGGGTATTAACACGTAAGGGAATGTAACGGATTTGGCTGGAATTCGAAATCGGTTCTCCGATTCCACAATCCGAGCCGCTGTCCATTATTCCATCTAACGAATATTAGTAAAAAGAAATTCTCCACAATTAACTACAAATTTGTGATGACAACAACAAAGATTAGAATATTAGTCCGAATGTAAATAGTGTAAATAATAACCCCTAATCCCAGAAATTAAAACAATAGCTGATCATGAGAAAATAAAAAAGATAAGGATGTTAGTCTGAATGTAAATTATGTAAATAATGATAACTGATCCCGGAAATTCAGACAGAATTTACAAGGTAGTTAATATTTATGAAGAGGATTGAAATTTTCTTGGTCATGTGAGGAAGGAATTCGAAAATACATTCTTATATTTCATCATCTTATCAATTTTCTGATTTCATTTGTGCAAAAAAACAACAAAAAAATACCCCCGGAAATCCCTTCTATATATTTACATTACGTGTGTATTGTTGGTTCATGTATATCTTTGTATGTGTGACTAAGTGTAGGTATTTGAAATAATGTAGTATTGCTGTAGAAGGTATTAGAAATAATGTATTATGTAATGGTAGGTATTTGAAACAATGTAGTATTGCTGTAAAAGGTATTTGAAATAATGTATTATGTAATGGTAGGTATTTGAAATAATG